TTTCCCAGAGGTACGAAGCCAAGGCTAAGACTACAAACCCAAAATCCATTTCGGGTGCAAAGTTTGGCGTTGGTCCCCGGAGTCTCCGCAGCAACCCAATCCGAGGCGCTCGTTCTAGTGACTGACATGCCATTTCCTCCAGTAAACACAACACAAAAGTCAATACAAGCCCGCCCCCGAGACAGGCCAAGGTATCACCCAATGGGAAAACGGAAAGATTGAACGGCAGTTCTGCAGACCAGTAAGAGGGCGAAAGAGCTGGGCGGAGGCTCAACCCCCAGGGGGTTGAGGGGAGGGGGAAGACGAAGCTTGAAAGACTTGGTAATGGCGACGGGTTTGGTAAGTAGGAAAGTTTCGGTTGAGGAGTAAGAGCGGTGGCGGGAGCAGTAAGGTACGCCGGGAGGCGGGCGTCAGTCGGAGAGAGGTTACGCGAGCTGCTGGCGGTGTTGTCGCGGCCAGGACCGCCCTCGCCGGGGCTGCCCGCACTCCGCGGCGGGTTTGTTGTCTTCCACTTCGGGAAAGGGTGGGGGTGGGGAAGGGAGGGGCGGGATCCCGAGGGGAGCAGACGGCCGGGCGAGCTCGGGTCCGTGATCCTCGACTTCCAGAGGCTGCCCTCACGGTGGAGACCATGAACCATCCAGTCACTGCCCGTGAAAGACCCACGGGACCTGCGTCCCCCGCGAGCTCACCTGGGCTTCGCGGCCGCGCGGCTCGGGGAGCGGGGTGGGCTCGGGGGCGGGGGCGGGGAAGAGTTGGTGAGGACTTTGCTCCGAGCCAGGTAGCGCGGTGGGCGGCCGGACCGGGTGCGGATACGGGGCGGCCCTGGGCCGGGGAACCGGCCGACGCGGCGCCGGGGCTGCTCAGGAAAGTTTGACTTCAACTCCCCGCGTGTGGGCGGAGGGCCGGAGGTTGGCCCGTGGTGGGGACCGGCCGGGGACGGGGGACCCCAGTGAGGCGCAGCCTCCTTCCGATGCGACGGGAGCGCGATCCGAGCTGGGGAGCTCGCGGAGCCGCAGGGCCCCCGGGCTCATTGTTACGCAGTTCGAATGAATGGGCTCCGCGGCGCGTGCGCGGTGGGGCTGAGCGCAGGGGAAAAACAAGCCTCTCGTCCTGGCTGCGGTCACATGATGGGGGAGGGGAGCGGAGCGCGATGAATGGCGAAAGCGGGTGGGGGATGGACTTGGCGTGAACCTGCGGGCGCTGCCTCTGCGCGACCGAGTACCGGGACTTGGCAGGCGATCCCAGTCTCCGCCTTCCAACCCAGGCCGCTGCCCCGGGCCGATTAAAACAACAGAAAAGGAATCCTGGCGAAGTCGGCCGCGGGGGCCCGGTTGTTTGCAGCTGGTTTGAACGCCGCACGCTGTCTAGGGGATTTCACTCGCTTCTGTGCATTACATAATATGTAGAGTTCATTCTTAGGAAGTTTTCAGGAAGAATCGTTTTTAAAAGGAGCACTGACAGCTGGGCAGTACTCAAGAGTTTTTAGCTGAGGGGGCCACTGATGGGTAAAAAAAAACAAAAAACGGGGTGTGTGTGTTTGTGTTTATAGGAGTAATTGTTAGAGCCCCACCAATAATCCCAGCGAGGTGCTGTAGATTTACGTGGCCATCTAAGGAAGCTGTAACAGTTGTTCCAAACTGGTTTTGAAATTATAGTTAACTTTTGAGAATGGAGATCATTTTAACATTGTGAATACAACGTTTCCATTCTTTAACTATTACTAATCTACATTTATAATGTACTCCTAGAACTTTTGATCTTTGCCCTTTTTTGTTGCTATTTTCTTTTGCTTTACTTCTCTAACCAAGAGTGGTGAAGGGATTAGCCAAAGAACATATGGCCGGAGTGAAGGGGGGGGGGGTGCCAGGCTGGGTGGAGGAGGGCAAAGTGCGGGGAGGATGGGGACATAGTAATAGTGCCAACAATAAAAATAAGGTTAAAAAAAAATAAAATGTTGATGCTCAAAAAAAAAAAAAAAAGACTGTTAGGATCTTCTGTTCAGTTTCCTTGACTAAGCTACCAAGTTATTGCTGGATTTGCAATATTTGGCAAGTTTTAAGGAAATTTGAATAATATTCAAAAGAATTAAATCCACTCAAGTTTTGAGGTACTTCATACTTTTGAGGAAGCCACTTTACAGCAAAATATTGCTATTTATTCTAACTTGACTAATACATTATTTATAGAATGAAAATTTGATTTCACTTTCTAGTCCATGCCCATTACCTTTTCTTCCTGCCTGGAAAATCCTTCTTCCCCTTTGCTCACTTCTCAAACTTTGTTCATTTCTATATACGTATATTAAAAGGTCAAAAGGTTACCTTCTACTGGGATTTCCCTGCACACGTCTCCATAATCTTCCATGCTTCACAGTTGCCTGCCTCTCAGACTTCAAACATCGTACTTTCACTTTAAAGAATGGTCTCCTCCACTGTATTTTCATTTCCTTGGGCTCTTGTCACTGTCCAAGTGCTCAGTAGAGGAGGCATATATAGCTTGGGCTTAATGAATGAATAAATTGCTAGGCACTGAAGATTTCCTGGAGGGGAGAATTGCAAGCTGGTGTCTTATATTTGTTTCTGTTTGAAATGAAGATATCAGTATGTTTTTTTCCTATCATAAATTACAAGATGCTGCCATGTTAATGAGATGTATTTTGCATATATTTTGAGCATGAAAGTAAATATTTACTTAGAATGAAAATATAAATTACAATAAATTTAAAAACTTTAAAGCTGACACAGACACCTTATATATCACAAAGTTCAGGAAAAATGATATTCTTTGTTAATTGCTTGACGCATCAGTAATATTCTCTTCATATTTTGCATGTACTTTGGTGCTTCAAATAATTTATACTATCATTTTCCATAGAAACTAGAAAAATAATTTTCTAATGTAGTTGTGAATTTTTTAGTTATTGATAGTTGCTTAGAAAATACTCTTTCACAAGTTGTTACAGGTAATGTAAAATGTTTTAAGGTTACAATCAAGTTTAGGAAAACAAGTTTCAAATATGAAATTTATATTATTTCAGTTGACAGTCCTCTTCTTCTTATAGTGGTGTATTATGGTTTTCTGTTATCCTCACCAATATCAGCATTTTGTGTCCGATCAGAATTCGTAAGAATTTGTATAGATGTCATTTGGCACTGTCCAGCAAAGGGAAGGAGTCAGTCTGGGTATCAGTGACTGATGAGATACAAGAGTGCATGTGGGATGCAGTATCTTTTATACCTACAGTAATTATGATAGGCAGATAGGTACTGGTCCCATCTATCTATCTACTATATATATAAAAGCCCAGTGACTGAACCGTGGAATGACCAGAACAACCGGTCGACCAGTCGCTCTGACACACACTGACCACCAGGGGGCAGACGCTCAAAACAGGAGCTGCCCCCTGGTGGTCAGTGCACTCCCACAAGGGGAGCACTGCTCAGCTGACTGGGATGAGTTACTTACTGCTCCTGCAGCGGGAGCAGCCACTAGCAGGCCCAGGGTGAGGCCGAGTGTCTGCACCTATCAAATACCTGAGACCGTCCAGACCCTGGCCTGACCCCACCAGCTGGTGCAGGCCCTCTCAGGTATGTTCCAGAACAGTGGTTGCCAACCTTTCGGGCCTCACAGACTATCAGTGGTCTGTGGACCACCGGTTGGCGACTGCTGTTCTAGAAAGAGTGCAGGGAGCTGGCATAGGTGGATGGCAAGAGAGGACGTGACTGGACCCCCCAGGGAGGCTGTCCTGATGGCTGAGGATCCTGGAGCACAGCTGCCCTGAACATCCTCGATGGTGTCACCAACCTGGCATCACATATCAAGGACATTCACCAAGTGGCTTTGGGGTGCAAAGCTCTCCGCCAGGTTCCTCCAGGACACAGAACACACCTTTACCCAAGACATGACCCCAAAATATCACCTCAGACTAATTTCCTTATTCAGCAGCCACTTAGCGGGCAGGTCCACAGTTGCTGGACTGAGTAGTGCTCCCACAGCGGGCCAGTCTCTGCAGGCCACACCCCCCACCCCCCATCAGTGCACGAATCCATGCACCGGGCCTCTAGTTTACAAATAAGAAAACTGAGGCGTAGAGGTTCAATTCTTGAGTCATATAGGTAGTAAGTGATATTCTATAGTGTATTTTACCCACTGCTGGGTTGTGGTCCCCCCTTTTTTTCCTTAGCACAATGGCAAACAAGTTGTAGAAACATTTCTTTGAAATCTTTTGTTTAAAGTTATTACAGAAGAATTGCATTAAGGCCTCCAACTACTTTTGGTGTGGGAAGTTGTCCTTAATATAGTTTGTTATAGAGGCTCATTTTATTTTTTTTTTAATATATTTTTATTGATTTCAGAGAGAGGAAGGGAAAGAAACATCAATGATGAGAGGGTCATTGAAGGGCTGCCTCCTTCACGCCCCCTACTGGGGATCGAGGCCACAAGCTATGCATGTGCCCTGACCAGGAGTCAAACCCTGACCTGGAGTGCTGAGCCACACCTGCAGGGTTGGAGGATCATTTTAGCTGGAATTATGCAATTCACTTAAAATACCTCAGTTCTCATGCTAGTGATATAAATTCATTGCAGATTACCTTCTCTTCACCCTTTGCTCCAAACAGTTTGAGTTTGGTATAGAGTTCTTCAGGATTAAGGGAAGGCATATAGGAGCTCCTTTCTGTGAAATCCATAGTAAGGATGGAAAGGAAAGGATTCAGGGAAGAATAGGCGCTTGAAAGTAGTAGTCTAACTTGTGTTGGTCTGTATCTTTTGTCATGTTTCTCATTTCTTTTAAAAAAGAATAAGGTCTCATTTAGAGTCTATATAAGATCAGATAAATTTTGTGGAAATGCTCTGCAGGGAGTAGGTAGGCATTTAGTAAAACTTATTCCCTTTTTTTTCATTTACTGAGAGTTATTTCATTTTTTAAAAATTGATTTCAGAGAGGAAGGGAGAGGGAGAGAGATAAAAACATCAATGATGAGAGAATCCTTGATCAGCTACCTCCTGCATGCTCTCTACTGGGGATCGAACCGGGAATCGAACCATAACCTGGTTCATAGATCAACACTTAACCACTGAGCCATGCCAGGTGGGCTAGACTTAGTTATCTAGTCCTCGTTTCCTTTCCTCTTACCTTATTTGTGGATATGTACTTCTGAAAGTTTGCTAAACAAAAACAGTAGGGTTTTCCCAATCCCACCCAGTAAAAATTTGTAATACTGAAAATGACATTTCAAAGTACAGCTGCTGGAGAGCTTTACTCTTCCCTTTTGAGAATCAGTGATCTAATGAATAGATGACATGTGAATCCTATAATACCAAAGCAGTATGCAAAAGTATGAATGAACAATAGGACTAGCTCTACCAGGAAGTATTTGAAAGTGGAGCTTGTTTATCAGAATGAATGTCTAATTGGTATGTATGTGAGGGAGTATTTTTGAATATGGACTTTTTAGATATTCCTTTACTGTTTCAAGGGCTTGCTTCCCCCAAATAATTTGACAAAAATAATGAGAGCCCAAAACTTACATTTGCGTTCGTGTATTTAATTATCACACGAGGTCTGTGAGATAAGTAGAGGTACTGCAAACCTAAGGTTAAGTGACCTACCTAAGGTGACAAAACCTAAAAGAGTGAAACTCAAGTCTGTTGATTAAGTCTAGGCTCCCAGTTACTATATAGGAGGTTTACAGTAGGAAAACCTCCATTATTCAAGATCAACTTTTGATAGCCCGTAACCATGAGGTACAAACACATAGAACTCAAGTTCCGCAAGTATTTATTTGGGTCCTTTTATTATTTGTAGGTAGCTCCGCTTTGAAATTAATTTTTTTTCAACTTTAAGGAATAGTGTGATGGGATATTGGTAGATAACTAAGGCTGGGTGCTAAAGAAACGATAGTTGCAAGGAGGTAGTATTAATGCATTATATATACATGGTGCATGGTGGACACTGCAGGACCTGCAGATAGGAGAATATCTACCTGGGGAGAATGAGAACATCAGAGAGCTCTGCAAAGCGAGGGGGAAGGCAGACAAACTGCAACACTGCTTCTGTGGACTCCAAGAACAGCGCTTTTCATACCGTTAAGGATAGCTCTCAGGAAATAGGTACGTGGAGGACAACATCTGAATTTCATTATAACGGTAAAAGGAGGAAATTTTCAAGTTTAAGATTAAAGGGGGGGCTGACTTAGATCACATCTGTATGTAAAGAACTCATAGAATGACTAGTTCTCATGCCTTAGGCATTAGTAAGTAAGGAATCTGAAACTACCAATTACCTTTTTTTAAAAAAAACTTTTATTGATTTCAGAGAGGAAGGGAGAGAGAGAAACATCAATGATGAGGAGAGAGAATCATTGATCAGCTGCCTCCTGCATGCCCCTCACTGGGGATTGAGCCCACAACCCCAGCGTGTGCCCTTGACTGGAATTGAACCCGGGAACCTTCAGTCTGCAGGCTGACACTATCCACTGAGCCAGACCAGCTAGGGCTAAAACAATACTTTTAAAGAAGGAAGTCATTTCACATTATTTTCACTCGCTTTGTTTCAGTTCATCCTTACAACTACTCTAAGGGGAAAGTTGGGCAGGTCCCATTAACCCTATTTTACATATGAAGATACTGAGTTACTGAGAAGCTCATTCACTTAGGTTGTATTTAGTAAGTGCTCAAGCTGGAATCAAAACCCATGTTTTCTTACACCTAACCCAGTGCCCTTTTCACTACTCCATAGTACATCAGACAGTTGATATTGAGTAAGGCTCTAAAGCAATGCCCAGGATATGGGTCATTTGTGAGGCATGCAGGCTGAAAGCATCCAAAATAGCATATTAGAAAATAAAGGTAATATGAAGTTTGGTTATATATGTCAAGAACCTTAGGAAGATTGTTAGTTGCCAGCCACCAATTAATCTGTCTGTAGGAATCTAAAGAAATAAGCAGATGTAAGCAGAAACTTAACAAAAAAAAAGTAAATGAAATGTTATTTAAAAGAGTGAAGAAACTGGGAACAACATGTTCAGTAATAGGAGGAATAAGTACATGGTGAGTGATGTATGTTATTTATTAAAAATAGATGTTTGAAAAAAGTAGATGATACAAGAAAATGCTTATGAACTTGTGTTAAGGAAAAGTATATGAAGAAAAATTTGATCTTAGGTCTCTGCTTGTCAAAGATAAGTCAGATAATACACCAATGTTTTAACAGTATCTAAATCTGGTTTGTGGAATTGGAAGTAATTATTTTATTTTACTTTTTAAAAAAATGCTTTTAAATTTTTGCCAAGATGATTGTGTGTAGTCAGAAAAAAATATTTCATAATTTAAAAGATTATGAAAAAGCCTTTGTAGAAAATATTTGTCAGTATTGCCAGTGATTTTTGGTGAGTATGTCATGACTTAGAAAACTCTGATCTAAATATTAAACATTTAAACATCTTTTCACATCACTTTTTCATTAGCTGGGTTGGGGTAGTTTTATTGACTTTTAACAGCAATGTATTTTATTTATTTTGAGGGGAAAAATTTTTTTGTGTATTTTGTATTAGCTCAGAACTTTTTTTAAAGAAAAGATTTGGAGTAGAACCTGAGAAATCAGGAAATCTTCCTGCTACTGTCACTCATCTTAAACTAATTTGATCATGTCCAAAGGTTACTCTCATAACAAAATTTAGTTGGTGGACTTCCTTGAGAAATTATTTAGGTGTGTTATCCTGTATTATTTTCTTCCTTGTAATGATTTTGTGGCCTTGAGATGAAGGTAGATTTACTATGAATTTAGCTAAATCTCACAAGATTAGCATTCATTTTTTTAGAAAAGCCTATTCAGAAGGGCAGGTATCTTTTATTATGGCTAGGTCCCAAATTCACATTAAGAAGACATAAGAACTTATTTGTTTGTTTAATCCTCACCAAGGATATTTTTTCCATTGATTTTTTTAAAGAGAGTGGAAGAGAGGGGGAGAGACAGATAGAGAAATATTAATGTGAGAGAGACACATCGATTGGTTGCCTCTCCCGTAGGTGCCCTTGACCGGAATAGAACCCGGGACCCTTCAGTCTGAGGGTGGACACTCTGTCCCCAGAGCCAAACCGGCTAGGGCCGTGGTCGGCAAACTGCGGCTTGCGAGCCACATGCGGCTCTTTGGCCCCTTGAGTGTGGCTCTTCCTAAGCCTTAGGGGTACCCTAATTAAGTTAATAACCATGTACCTACCTATATAGTTTAAGTTTAAAAAATTTGGCTCTCAAAAGAAATTCCAATCGTTGTACTGTTGATATTTGGCTTTGTTGACTAATGAGTTTGCTGACCACTGGTAGGGCAAGACATTTTTTATGAGACTTACGATATATGGCCATTTTAAGAAACTCATCTGAAATGTTCTTTAGGCAATATAATTTTAAGTATGTTAAACTTGTTTACTTTTAGAAGATGAGGAAAAAATAATGAATACAGTAAATAGAGAAATTAAAATAGAATCTTTAAAATAAAAAAGTTCTTCTAGTCTTTGAATTTAAGTGAGGAGTTTGTTAATTTTATTTTACATTTGAAGATACAAGTTTAAAAAAGGTTTTGCTGGTCTCAATATTGGTATCTGAAAGAGATACTTGATGAAAAAACTGCTTTTATTCGTTGGAAGAAAGGACTTTTATACATTCAATATATTATTAATCCTTTGGGATTTGGGTATAATTTCGTGCTAACTACATGGATGTATGGCAAGATATCATGGAGTCATGTTGACCTAAAGGATTTGATAGTGATACAAATAGCAATGTATAGATTAAGTTAAAGATACATGTGATGTCTCTGATTGATTTTCTATTTATATAATTTCCATATCACATGATTTGACATTTTTTCCTTGCATTATTTTTATTTTGAAGTCGGAGCACCATAACATGGTGTGGGAAGTGAAGACAAATCAGATGCCTAATGCAGTACAGAAACTCCTGTTGGTAATGGATAAGAGAGCTTCAGGAATGAATGACTCATTGGAGTTGCTGCAGTGTAATGAAAATTTGCCATCCTCACCCGGCTATAACTCCTGTGATGAACACATGGAGCTTGGTAAACAAAATTAAAAAGTTTTTAGGGATGTCATGGAAATTTAGATTAATTTTCATGTTTTAACCTACCTGGAACTGCTAAAAAGTATGTGAAATTTTGTACATTAGTTTTCAATGTTAAATATTACTTAAAACCAACATAAATGTGAGCTATTTATGGTTATCATAGAGACTAATTTACAAATTACTACACTAACCTGCTTTGCTCTGTGGGTAAAAATTGGGCTGTTGAACACCTTAGGAAGTCCCTGCTCTGTGGCTTTTCAAAAAGTATTTTAAGACATCGCCACGAGCTCAGTAAATTATGCTTGGCCGCTCTTCATGGCCGGTTTGTTAGTATGACAGGGACAGTACAGAGGATCCTTGACGCTTGAGGGTCTGATATTTGTGGTTATTAGTACTGCCGAGCTATTGAAAGGTATGTGACCTCTAGAAATGTGTGGGTTTGTTGAGGTATGATTTTGAATTGTATTGTTTTGAAGTGTTGAAGAGTAAACAGCTAATGAGTAACCTTGGCTTGCTGCCAGCTTTTCAGCTTGGCTTTGTCCCCATTTAATATGTAGTTTTCCTTAATATTCACAAAAACCCCAAGAAGATGTGATTATTCTCATTTTACAAAAGATGAAATAGAGGAGATTATAGGCTGGAATGCTGTGGGATTTTGGAGATTCTGAAGGTCTTGGGATATAACCAGTTTGAATACCAAGAGTTTAATTGAGTAGTGGTTACTGTTGAGCAAAGACCATTATAATCAGGTAATTGATTCTCTACCATCACATTTTATTTATTTTTTAAAGATTTTTAATTTATTTTTAGAGAGGAAAGGAGAGGGAGAGGGAGAGGGAGAGAGACAGAAAAATCGGTTATTTCAGTTTTAGTAGACTATCTGGGGTATTTGCCTGGATAGGAGCTTATGTGTAGAAACATTTTATAGTGACAGTTTAGGAAAACTTCCAAGACTAGAAGAGTTTCATGACATATATTAAAGGGAACCAATAGATCTATGGAGTGTGTAGGTGTGTATTTCATAGACACTTCTAAGGCCTGCACGATGCTTTTTCTCCATATAGTACATTTTTTACTGAATATTTTAGAATTATATATTTTTTAGAATTTTGAATAATGTTCATAGCCTTGGTGTGTACATGAGTATTACTTGGGTAGTATTTCTAGTTGTCTTTCTTAGGGAGTAAAAGTACCATGAAGTACCTTTGGGGAACACATTTACACATTTACAGGAAAAATAACCAATAAATATTACTGAGTTCAGAATTTCTCAGTAAAAAAAAATAAATTGGCCTATATAAAATTAAGTAAGTAGTACCTAAAAATTTATATGGTTTTTGTCTTTAAAAATTATTTTCACTATTGCAGTGATCTTGTGTAACAGATTAATAAAAGTATGTGAACAATAAGTACATATATATACACACATAAAATGCCTTTTTCCTCAATGTGTTCATATAAAAATGTCTCAATAGTATATAGATTAGTCCTCAGTGAAGTATAAAAAATTGAAGGGAAAAATCAGGAAGCACAAACCTTGTTTTTCCAATCTATGAACAGTTGTAATTACATGTTTAGGTAGTGAAGTTATTAGTACATTTACATTCATGGATTCACTTTTCTGTTAAGCTCTGTTGACCCTTAATGTACTTGGTGGCATTTTTAAAAATTGAAACTTGTTTCATACAAAAAACCCCCACATTTTGAACTTATACTTTCCTTCACAAAATTAATTAGTGAAATTTGAGGACTTCTCTTCCAATTGTAACTATAGTATTGCCCGGTATTAGTACTTTCCTTTTTATAATTTTGAGTGTGTGTTTGCAGATGACCTTCCTGAACTTCAGGCTGTTCAAAGTGATCCTACCCAATCTGCCATATACCAGCTAAATTCAGATGTTTCACATCAAGAATATCCGAGACCATCTTGGAACCAAAATACCTCAGACATATCAGAAAGTACTTACCGTGAAAATGAGGTGGATTGGCTAACAGAATTAGCAAATATCGCCACCAGTCCACAAAGTCCACTTATGCAGTGCTCATTTTACAACAGGTAAGAATGCTGTATTTGTATTGAAAACCTCTATCATTACAAATGTGGCCATTATTTTTTTCTAGTATTAAAAGTAATGCTATTAATCATTTAATGAATGGTTTGCTTAAGTTAGGATTTAAGTAAAGTCATTAGAATTAAGCTTCTTGTCTTATAAAGATCAAAGAGCTATTTTACTCAGTAATATTTTACACTCTGAGAATTAGATAAAAGTGATACAAAAACAGCAGAGTGAAGAATATTTGCAAGTGTTTCACAGGCACCAGAAAATAAATCAGACCAGGAAATACTTTTATTATGCTATATTTCTACTTATTGGAATGAAAATTGTAGTTGTCCAAAGAACTGTAATTATAATAAAGACTAGAGGCCCGGTGCACGAATTCCTGCACGGGAGGGGTATGGCCAGCCTGCCCTTATCGGGCCGGCTGGGGGGAGGGGCCAAGGCAGTTGGCCAGCCGGCCCCACCCTCTGGTCAAACTTCCAGTCGAGGGGACAATTTGCATATTGGCTTTTATTATATAGCATTATATTTTAAAGCTTTTATCAATCTTGAGTTCAGTTTCTTTTTTGTTGAGGCTTATTTTCTTCTAGGGTATGTGGCCTTATGTGATTTATCTGTTTTCTAATAATAAAATAAGCTAATCTTAAAATCTTCAACTTATAAAAGTGGGCTCCCAATTGGTGAAAACCACTGTTTCATATACTCAGATTAGGATTTAAGAAAATGTGTTCTTGTACTATGGAAGCTTTCAAGCAATATTCCTAAAGAGACCCTAAGTGGATAATATTTTATTAATTATCTCAAAAATCATAAAATTATTTATGTAAAAAGACATAAACAATAAATTAGGTTATAGAGGGGAGAAATGCCCAAATTTGCACTCATGTGGGTGGATAGACCACAGTTCATATTAGGTGATTTAGAAATAACTCAATTTTGGTAAGTGCTCTTAAGTTAGTATAATTATTGCTAAAGAATAAACTTTGTAGGTGTGAAACCTGTTTTTTTTTTACAACTCATTAAATTACACTGCTTTCCTTCTATTCATCAGGATGCTAGTCTTGATTAGAGCAAATTCATTTTAACTTTGGTTTAATTCCATTAAAATTTCCAGAAGAAAGAAAACTTGCCTTTTAAAGTATTACTTCTCTTATAGTCTCAGTTTTTATTATAGTCTTATTAGTCAAAAAGCTAAAAATTCTTTTACATATAAAAAACAAACCCTGATTTTACTATTGGACATTATTTTTCCCCTATTTCTAGTTTAAAGTTAATACTTTTCATTTTTTACCACAAATTCATGAAGATTAATAATATAGTTCATGGGAAGCTGAGTAAACCCTTCAGAAGAAAATCAGTATAAATAAAAGTATAAGTAAAGGAGTATCTCCCTGAAGATGTGAATTTATTCTCTGCAGCATTTCTATGCCTCCTTTCTTCCTAGGGAACAAGACCAAGAGTTATGCTCTGCTGTCTTGCCTGCCTTCTAACAGACAGTGGCAACTTCTTACAGAGTGTTAAACTATGTTAGTTATTGAGCTTTTGATGTCTGAAGTCATAACTGTACAGTATCAAGGGGTTGAGGACAGGTAAAGTTTATATTGTTCCTGATAGAAAGACGGATGAAGAGACCAGTGGTATTAGGATTTTAGACATGTTTAGCCTGTTAATTTTTTACAGAACATCCAGTCCATTCTACATTTTAGAACACTGCATTGTTACTTAAGTGGTTAAACAAAAGAATTAATGAAACTTATATTCTTTTACTAGAGGCCCAGTGCACGAATTTGTGCACCAGTGGGGTCCCTTGGCCTGGCCTGCAGGATTGGGCCGAAACTAGCTCTCTGACATCCTCCAAGGGGTCCGGATTGAGAGAGGGCGCAGGCCAGGCCGAGGGACCCCACCAGTGCACGATCGGGGCCAGGGAGGGATGCTGGAGGTTGGCCAACTGGGGAGGGACCACAGGAAGGCTCCAGAGTGTGTCCAGCCTGTCTCACTCAGTCCCGATTGGCCAGACCCCAGCAGCAAGCTAATCTACCAGTCGGAGCATCTGGCCCCTGGTGGCCAGTGCACATCATAGCAACTGGTCAACCGGTTGACTGTCTGCCCCCTGGTGGTCAGTGCACATCATAGCGAGCTGTTGAGCAGCCTTAGCATATCATTAGCATATTATGCTTTGCTTGGTTGAATGGACGACCAGATACTTAGCATATTAGACTTTTATTATCTACTAGAGGCCTGGTGCATGAAATTGGTGCATGGAGGGGAGTCCCCCTCAGCCCAGCCTGCACCCTCTCCAATCCGGGACCCCTTGGGGATGTCCAACTGCCGGTTTAGGCCCGATCCCAGGGATCGGGCCCAGGGATTGGGCCTAAACAGGCAGTCGGACATCCCTCTCACAATCCGGGACCACTGGCTCTTAACTGCTCACCTGCCTGCCGGCCTGATCACCCCTAACTGCCCCCCACCCTCCGCCAGCCTGGTCGCCCCGAACTGCCCCCTCCGCCGGCCTGGTTGCCCCCGACTGCCCCCCATGCCAGCCTGGTCGCCACCAACTGCCCCCTCCCAATTGCCCCCCACCGCTGGCCTGGTTGCCCCCGACTGTCCCCCCTGCCAGCCTGGTCGCCCCACGCAGCCTGCTGCTCAGTCGTTTAGTCATCCCTCACTAACCCCCCTGATGGCCAGGTTGCCCCACGCAGCCTGCTGCTTGGTCGTTTGGTTGTCCCTCACTAACCTCCCTGCCAGCCTGGTCGCTCCACGCAGCCTGCTGCTCAGTCATTTGGTTGTCCCTCACTAACCCCCCTGCTGGCCTTGTTGCCCCACTCACCTGTTCGGTCGTCCGTTTGGTTGTTTCAGATGTGACGGCTCCTGGCTCTTTATATATATAGAAGATAATAATAAAAGTGTAATATGCTAGTTAGACCAGACGTCCTTCTGGACAACCTTCTGGATGAAAGCTGGGGCTGCGAGGAAAGCCCGGGTCCCGAGTGCTGCCGGCTGTCAGAGGGAAGCCGGTGCTGGCAGCGGGGGGAAGGAAGACCTACTCTTGCATGAATTTCGTGCATCAGGCCTCTAGTATAGGATAGGATTAGTGATGAAGGCAGGAATGGGCTGAAGGAATTTTTAGCAGTTTGGCCATTCTCTAATACTTCGTAAAGTTCTAAATGTATAATAAAAGGAAGAAATGTATAATAAAAGGATGAAATTTCAAAGATGTAATATTCAGTGTTTGTATTTTTAAATAGAAAGTTGATTGGAGAGTATGATAAAATGCATGGAAATTGGTGGGGTTTTTATTTAATAAGTGATATAAACATGAAAGCAAAGTATAGTTTCATAGATTCGTGCACTCAGGGCAGGGGGAGGGGGGGGTCCCTCAGCCTGGTCTGCGCCCTCTCCCAGTCCGGGAGCCCTCAGGGGATGTCCGCCTGCAGGGAGTGAGCCTAAGCCAGCAGTTGGACATCCTTAGTGCTGCTGCGGAGGTGGGAGAGGCTCCCGCCACCACTGCTGCACTCGCCAACCTTGAGCCCGGCTTCTGGCTGAGCGGTGCTCCCCCTGTCGGAGTGCACTGACCACCAGAGGACAGCTCGTGCATTGGGCATTTGCCCCTGGTGGTCAGTGCATGTCATAGCAACCGGGTGTTCTGCTGTTCAGTTGATTTGCATATTAGCATTTTATTATATAGGATAATTTTGGCAAAGGTAAAATGAATAAAAGTTAATGAGGATAAAATTAAAATTGAAGGCTAATACAATTTCTCAGGGAAAGGGATGAATTGGAAACTAAGCTGTCCCTTCTCCCTTTTTTGAAAAAGAGGTTAGTACAGACATGCATTAACTTTTTTCTGTTAAGGATCAAATCCCTATTTGGCATCTTAGAGAATTGTTCTGATTTGGGAGTTTCAGACCGATCTACCCCTTTGTCTTCCTCTCTACTGCTTTCCAAACTCCTCTGTTAGTATGTACACATTACTGGTCATCCTTTATGGGCTTGCTTCTTACTGTTACCCTTCCTGTGAATAGCTGATCTGTTTGTGGTGAAAGGATTTTAGTATATTCTTGGGAGCGTAAGTACTCTAAAAGGAGCATTGCCTGTTAAAGAGACTTTTGAGGGGAAAACTGGGGAAGGGGTTATTTTTTAAAAGGTGATCCTGGGGGAAAATAATTAGCCCTTATATGTAGATGCTCTTTAACAAGTTTGTATTAGAAAACAAAAAATAGTGTCGTTACAAGAAGTTACAAATAAGCTTCTTTCTGCTACAAGAAGTTTAAGCAATTAGGTCAGTGATGGCGAACCTATGACACACGTGTCAGAGGTGACACGCGAACTCATTTTTTTGGTTGATTTTTCTTTGTTAAGTGGCATTTAAATATATAAAATAAATATAAAAAATATAAATCTTTGTGTTACTATGGTTGCAAATATCAAAAAATTTCTATATGTGACACGGCACCAGAGTTAAGTTAGGGTTTTTCAAAATGCTGACACGCCGAGCTCAAAAGGTTCGCCATCACTGATTTAGGTTAAGGTGGTTCATTGTATCTGCCCAGTGATAGGTGATTGGTAAAGAGTTCAGTGTTAAGCATAGATTCACTCACTTTAAGACTTACTGACTACATCAAAGTTGAAGAAAGAAATGGATAAGGCGCCCTGCACAGGGGTTATTATTCATGAATGAAAATGTTCATATTTATATGTACTTGTTGATATAAAAATAAATAAAACAGCAATTTGGAACTTAAAATACATTGTCAAATATGAGAAAAAAACACCTGTTTACAATGTGTGAGGAGGGCTTGGGTAAGAAGTTAAAGGACAACATACTATAAATGTAATCTTGATGTCTTTTACTAGTGTTTTGTATATATACTAATGTTGGCATTTCGAATATTAAATTTTCTCATCAAAAGGAAAGATCTACTTTAAGGACCTATGCTTTATGGTTAAAACTGCTTCTTCATTTTAGATCATCTCCTGTACACATCATAGCTACTAGCAAAAGTTTACATTCCTATGCACGCCCTCCCCCCGTGTCCTCTTCTTCTAAGAGCGAGCCAGCCTTCCCTCACCACTGGAAGGAGGAAACACCAGTCAGACATGAAAGGGTGAGTTTATTCATGAGATTAAACTTTTACAAAGTTTGCACAACAGTCATAATATATTAACTTTCCCTCTCTAAAAAGTCTTTTGAAGCACATACAGATGGAATATAGTATGTCTCATTGTTCTAGTGGTCTGGGTTTGATTTTATATACAGCTCTATTAACTGTTAGGAAAGTTTATTACAAGTGGGAATATATATTTAACTAAAACTTTCAAAAACTTCAGTTTTCAAAGGTATATTTGCCCCAAGCTTAGAATGATTAAGTTACCCCCTGGTCAGAAGAGAACCTGAAATCAGCTGGAGACAGATGGTAATAAGGTACATTTAAAAATAAACAGTTTGTAATGTTTTTCTTCACAGGCAAATAGTGAGTCAGAATCTGGCATTTTCTGCATGTCCTCCCTCTCAGATGATGATGATTTGGGATGGTGCAATTCCTGGCCTTCAACTGCTTGGCACTGTTTTTTGAAAGGTAAAAAAAAAATACTTGAATTTGTTTACAGCTTACTTGTGTAGCACACTGTCACATAACTAATACTTATTTTTACTTAAACTTTAGGCACACGACTGTGCTTTCATAAGGGAAGCAATAAGGAATGGCAGGATGTTGAAGATTTTGCTAGAGCTGAAGGCTGTGATAATGAGGAAGATCTCCAAATGGGCACTCACAAGGTTAATTTAAAATTCCTAAAAAAAAAAAAAAATCTTTTAAAATGAAACATAATGTTTATTGTTGTTCTGCAGGTATATCCTCCATTTACTTTCATATTTAAATAATCTTAAATTGTAGGTAGTGGTTTTGTGACTACTTATTGTTGCTTAGCCTGATGGAGAGGCTTTAGGTTTACCTTTATAATTATGTTTTCGTAGATGGGAAAACCAAACTGGCATTAAAAATAAATAATGAGCCCTGCCCACCCAGCATGGCTCAGTGGTTGAACTTCGACCTATGAACCAGGAGGTCATCGTTCCATTCCCGGTCAGGGCACATGCGTGGGTTGTGGACTCAATCCCCATGTGGGGTGTGCAGGAGGCAGCTGATCAATGATTCTCATCATTGATGTTTCTGTCTCTCCCCCCCTCCTTTCCCTTCATCTCTGAAATTAAAAATATATATTTTACAAAAACAAATAAATGATTCCTAGCCAGTGTGACTCAGTTGGTTGGAGCGTGGTCTAGTGTACTGAAAGGTTGCAGGTTCAATTCCCAGTCAGGGCATTATGGAAGGCAATCCTATCAATCAATGTTCTCTTTCATATGTATGTTTTCTGCCCCTCCTCCCCCTAAAATCAATAAATATATCCTTGGGTGAGGATTAAAAATAAATAAATGAACAAACAAACCAAAGCTTTATCTTTGGTAATCTATGAGGTGGTTAATTCCCCTTGTGTAATTGTTTTTTTTAAAATCTATTTTATTGATTTTTTACAGAGAGGAAGGGAGAGAGATAGAGAGTTAGAAACATCGATGAGAGAGAAACATCGATCAGCTGCCTCCTGCACATCTACTGGGGATATGCCCGCAACCCAGGTACATGCCCTTGACTGGAATCGAACCTGGGACCTTTCAGTCCGCAGGCCAACGCTCTATCCACTGAGCCAAACCGGTTTCGGCCCCTTGTGTAATTAAAAGTTGATTATATTGTTACTTTTTATTGTAAATTTTTTTTTTTTTTTTTTTTAATATATATTTTATTGATTTTTTTTACAGAGAGGAAGGGAGAGAGATAGAGAGTTAGAAACATCGATGAGAGAGAAACATCGATCAGCTGCCTCCTGCACATCTACTGGGGATATGCCCGCAACCCAGGTACATGCCCTTGACTGGAATCGAACCTGGGACCTTTCAGTCCGCAGGCCAACGCTCTATCCACTGAGCCAAACCGGTTTCGGCCCCTTGTGTAATTAAAAGTTGATTATATTGTTACTTTTTAAATGACTTCATAAAAACACTGCCATTTTCTTTATTTTTTTTCTAGTTTTCAATTATATTTTATTGAATTATAGTGTATATACCATAGCATTCACCATTTTAAAGTGTATAGTGTACAGTTCAATGCTTTTTAGTATACTACAAGAATGTGCAACCATCACAGGTATCTAATTCCAAAATATTTTCATCACCTCAAAAAGAAAAGTGTAAAAGATCATTCCCTATTCCTCCCCTTTCCCTAGACTCTGGCAATCACAAATCTGTTTTCAGTACCTATGGATTTGTCTTTATTGGATATTCCCTGTAAATGAAATCACACAATATATTACCTCCTGTGACTGGCTTCTTTCACTTAGTATAATGTTTTCAAGGTTTGTCTATGAGGTATATAAGAACTGTGTTCTTTTTATGACTGAATAATCTATATGGATGTATTGGACTTACTTATTCATTCATCAGTTAAAAAACATTTGGGTTTGTCACTCTTTGGCTATTAAGGAGAAATGCTGCTGTGAACCTTCCTGTACAAACTTGTGAATGAACATGTTTTCATTTCTATGGTTATATACTTATATATATAAGGAGTGCGATTACTAGGTCATATGGTAACTCCATGTTTTAACATTTTGAGGAACTTACATTTATATCACTAATATATGAAAGTTCTATCTCTGCATCCTCATCTACTACAGTTACCTCCTGTTTCACTCAAAAGCCGTCTTAGTGTGCATAAAGTGGTATTTCTCCTTGTTTGATTTGCATTTCCCTAATGACTAATGATGGTGAGCATATTCCCATGTTCTTTTTTTTTAAGCAATCTTTTTTTTTTTTAATATATTTTATTGATTTTTTACAGAGAGGAAGGCAGAGGGATAGAGAGTTAGAAACATCGATGAGAGAGAAACATCAATCAGCTGCCTCCTGCACACCCCCGACTGGGGATGTGCCCGCAACCAAGGTACCTACCCTTGACTGGAATCGAACCTGGGACCTTTCAGTCCACAGGCCGACCCTCTATCCACTGAGCCAAACCAGTCAGGGCATATTCCCATGTTCTTATTGGTCATTTGTGTATCATCTTAGAGGAACTCTATTCAAATAATTTCTCCATTTTCAGTTGGGTTGTCTTTACTGATTTGTAAGTGTCCTTCAGATGTCCTGGGAAGTATACCTTATCAGATTGGAGACTTGCAAATATTTCTCCCATTTTTGGGTTGTTATTTTCACTTTTATTTTGATGAAGTGTAATTTAGTTGTTTCTTTGGTTACTTGTGCTTTAGGTGTCATACATAGGACACCGTTGCCTAATTCAAGGTCATGAAGATACACACCTGTGTTTTCTCCTAAGAGTTTTTATAGCTGTAGATCTGACATTTAGGTTTTTGATCCATTTTGATAATATATGTATACTAGAGGCCCAGTGCATGAAATTCGTGCATGGGATGGGGGGATCCCTCAGCCTGGCCTGCACCCTCTTCAATTCAGGACCCCTCAGGGGATGCGGGATCGGGCCTAAACTGGCAGTCATACATTCATCTCACAATCCAGGACCACTGGTTCCTAACCACTTGCCTGCCTGCCTGCCTGATCGCCCCAACCCCCTCTGCCTGCTGACCTGATCGCCCCTAACTGCCTCTGTCTGCCGGCCTGATCGCTCCCTAACTGCTCCCCTGCCAGCCTGATTGCCCCTAACTGCCCTCCCCTGCCGGCCTGATCACCCCCTAACTGCTCTCCCTTGCTGGCCTGATGCCCCTAACCATCTCTGCCTTGGCCCCTGCCACTGTGGCTTTGTCCAGAAGATGTCTGGTCTAATTAGCATATTACCCTTTTATTATATAGAAGATGGTGTTTGGTATGGTCAAAAATCATTCCTTTCTTTTTTTTTTTTTTTTTTTTGCATGTAGATATATGGATGGGATGTCCCAGCATAATATGTTGAAAAGACATTTTTTATCAAAATTTTTTGTCACCTAGTTGAAAATAAAAAACATTGGCATTTTCTAAGTTGATAAGTAAAACAATAGGATAAATATTGGTTGACACCTTTGTCTTTGAAACCTTTAATTTCTCCATCTCTAATGTAGGTAGAAAAATTGGGCATGTGAATGAAGTGCTTCTTTACAATTCCTGTTATCCCCTGATGTTGAGTTTCTTAGAAAATTAGTCCCTACACGGCTGCCTTCAGTTCTCCCCTCTTCATTGTAGTGGTTTGCCATAGTTTGACTTTGGCCTATACCACTCTCCTACAGTTTCAAAGGTTATTAGCTTGATTCTGATTACTAGAAAGGCTTTTACTTGCTCTGTTTAACATCTCTGCAACATCTGACAGAGGGGATGAGTTCCTAACATTGTTTTGATTTGTGTAGCACGGCAGTGCCCTGATTTTTGCGTGGTGGTTTGTGTGCCCATAATGTTGAATGTAAGCAAGTTTCTGCTCCTTTTCACTCTCTTAACCAATTCTTCTTTGCTGATAATGTCAGCATCACCTCCTTGTGGCCTGTGGAAAGCACTGTGGACTTGGAGTCAGGAAACCTGGGCTCCCTTTCCAGTTCTTCCAGTAACTACTTTTGTGACTGACCTGGGGCAAATAATTAACCCTAGTAGCTTTCGCTTCCTGATCTGTTAAATGGGGTTGGATTTGTTTTAAAGTCTCGTAGCCCCAAGAATTAGAAGATTCTGTAATTCAGTTATTTGCAAATATATGTCTGTAGCCTTTACTTGTATGTTTCCAACTGCATGTTAGACCTATTTGTACATGAATATCAATCAGTTATTCAAACTCGGCTTATTAGTATAATCAAATCTGGATTCACCTTTTTTAATTCTCCTTCCTGGCTTACTTTCAACTCTGTTCTTTTAAAGGTATTGTTATCCCTGATTACCAGATTCAAAACCAGGATGTTGGCTATTCCCTTTCCTCCCTTCATATTTAGTTATCAGTTTTATTTCCTTAAAGATTTTTACAGTCATCCTTCTCTCCCATTCTTTGTTTTGTTTTTTGTTTTTAAATATATTTTTATTGAGTTCAGAGAGGAAAGGAGAGAGAGGTAGAAACATCAATGATGAGAGAATCACTGATCAGCTGCTTCTTGCACGCCTCCCCGACTGGGGATTGAGCCCGCAACCCAGGCATGTGCCCTTGACCGGAATCGAATCTGGGACCCTTCAGTCCATAGGTCCACACTCGATCCGCTGAGCCAGACCAGCTGAGCCCATTCTTTACTTTGTTCATGCACTAGATGTAATAACAATTGGATATTCTAGCTAGGTGTTGGCATGTCTTTCTCTTTTGTTTTTCTGTGAATTTAAGGGTAAGGATTATGTATTGTTGATTATATTTTTTTCAGAGCCTAGTACGAGGCATGTACTAAATGCTCAATAAATATTTGTTGAATTTAAATTTAGCCTGGTTCTACCACCACTATACTTGTCAATTCAAGACTGATGGGCTTCTCTCATTATATTTTGAAATAAATTGAATATTAGAGGTAACTTTCTGAAGTCATTTATCATCTTAAAATGAACAATCATATTAATAAAAATACTTTTATTGACTTCCCAATACCCTCTCAAAGGAAAGTTGGAGCACTTTGCCTGTCTCTAAGGCCCTTTACTTACTAAGTGGTTCAGCCTCTCCTTTTCAGTACTTGTCCCAACTTTGAATTCATCTTGTATTTTTAGCAAATACTCAGCACTACCCAAAGCACTTGTTTATTGTAACTATTCCTGGTGTAAGGCATGTTCTTCTACTTTTCTAAATTTCTTTCTTGTAAATCGCAGTTCAAAGGGAAATTGAAAGCCTCCCTGATCTTGCTCTCTCTTTTAATTAAACTGTATTAGCATTATTTATACTTGAACTAAAATGCTTATTCCAGTCTGCCTTATGTTGTAGTGATTTATATATGTGCCTTTTATTCACTACTGGGTCGAAAGCTCAATAAAGACAGGGATCCTTTTTGTTTGTTTTTACCTTTTCTACAAAGTCTTAACTGTAGTAGGAACTTCACTATGTGTTAAATTGAATGTTGCCAATTCACTTAATATATGCGTGTATTTTCAGGGCTATGGTTCCGATGGCCTGAAGCTGTTATCACATGAAGAAAGTGTATCATTTGGCGAGTCTGTACTGAAGTTGACTTTTGATCCTGGTACAGTAGAAGATGGTTTACTAACTGTAGAGTGTAAGCTGGACCACCCTTTCTATGTTAAAAATAAAGGTAGGGCTTCAATTTGAATTTGTAGTAACTTTTAAAAGGAATCTTAAATCTATAATATGTCTTGTGGCATAATTCTTTGGTGGTTAAGAAAAAGAATTTGAAGGGAAAATTTAAAACTACATAAAACTATCTTAGGAAATGCCTTATGATGCTTAAATGTCTTAGTGATAGTCAGACTGAGCTCTACTTTCTGTGGCTATCAAAAACTTCGATTCATGTAACGTGAATATCTTGGTATATAGTTTGGGGTATGGAGTATTTTAATAATTGCATTTTGGTTTAGGCTTACCAAATACACTGTATACCCAAAGCACTTCAGAGCCTTATTGCAATACCACCATGTTACACATAATAATACCTCAAGAGTATTTCATGGTCTCACTTATCTGCATTTATGCTGATTGACAGAACCTATTAATAAAATGCTAAATTAAACTACATTTTGGAGTGTTTGTTCATTGCTTAAATACTTGTAGTTGGCTTTATGGCAAATAATACATGACTTGTATTTGAAAAATCTTGACTTAAATTTTTAAGACTCAGAAATGATATGTCTATCTTATAATAAATAATTTGGGTGCTTTTTGTCAATCCCCATCCTTGATGCAGCTATTGTTTGATTTAACTTTAGGTTGGTCATCGTTTTATCCAAGTTTGACTGTGGTACAGCATGGCATTCCATGTTGTGAAATTCATATTGGTGATGTATGTCTACCTCCTGGACACCCCGATGCCATTAATTTTGATGATTCAGGTGTTTTTGATACATTTAAAAGGTAATACTGCACTAATTATCTTTTTTCTGTTAAAAGTTTTCCCTAAACCTCCCTAATGATTGCTAATTCAAATATTTAAGAGGTTAAACCTTTAAAGCTTTCAGAATTTTAAAAGAACTTTTAAAAGGACAAGTGTCCAATCTCACAGGAGGTATCCAGAGAAAGTTTGTATGTAGATAGATATCTGGGATTTTAAGACTCATTCTTCCTTTAACCTAATTATCAAATCTAGAGGCATTAGGTAGAGAATTCTCAAGAGTTTCTGTCTACTATCTTACAGATTTTATTTCACTCAATTTAATATAATTAAATATAAGGTAAATATATTTGTTTATCAAAAGAATAAGGAAGCCCTAGCTTATTTGGCTTCAGTGAATAGAGCATTGGCCTACGGACTGAAATGTCCTGGGTTTGATTCTGGTCAAGGGCACCCAGTGCAGGAGGCAGCTGAGCTGATCACTGATTCTCTTTCATCATTGATGTTTCTCTCTCTCCCTCTCCCTTCCTCTCTGAAATCAATAAAATATATTTAAAAGAAAAAAAAAGAATTAGTAAGACTATTTTAAAAAGCGCAGACCATATGCTCAATAACATCTGTAAGATTGGAATCTAAATGCCATTTGATTACATCCTTCATATACACTCTTTGAAAAACTAAAAAATGAGACAATACTTTAAGGTCTGATACTCTAATTATTTTTAACATGTAAATTAATGATAACTCTTATGTTTTGGTGAGAGTGTAAATAAAATTTTGGAAGATAAGTTGGCTTTGTTTTACAACACTGAGTATCAGTAATCCTATTTCTCTGTATACCCTAGAGAAATAAACTCTTGTATACATGTGCTAGGAGTTGTATAAAGTTCATAGATGCATTACTCATGATAGCAAAACTTGGAAACAATAACAATATTCATTGGCTGGGGAGTAAATATATAAATTGTGATATAATCGTACAATGGAATTCTTTGTCAGTGGAATATTAATGAACCTTAACTATATATTTTAAAACATGGATCAGTTTTAGAAATAATGTTAAGTAAAAATTAGTCTCAGAAATATACAGTATGGTTCTATTTTTTTATGGTATCAGATGTTCTTCGAAAATATATGTAGCCCTAACCTTTTCTCAGTGATTAGAGGATCTGCCCTTGGACTGAGGGGTCACAGGCTTGATTCCAGTCAAGGGCATGTTACCCCAGCAGGCTTGATCCCTGGCCCGGGTCTGGGTGCATGTGGGAGGCAACCAATTGATGTGTCTCTCTCACATGGATGTTTCTCTCTCTCTCTCTGTCTCTCTCCCTCCCTTCCACTGTGTCTAATAATCAGTGGGGAAAGAAAGAAGAAAATACATGTATTAAAATTATAAATGTAATTACGTTTAAATTATACTAGAGGCCCAGTGCACGAATTTCGTGCACTGGGGGAGGGGGGTGGAGTCCCCTCAGTCCAGCGTGCGCCCTCTTGTAGTTCAGGACCCATCAGGGGATGTCCGCCAGCTGGCTTAGGCCTGCTCTCCGCGCAGCCTGGGACCCCTCGCTCCTTACTGCTCACCTGTTCGCTGCGCTCGCCAGCTGTGAACCTGGCTTCTGGCTGAGCAGCACTCCTCCTGTGGGAGTGCACTGACCACCAGGGGGCAGCTCCTGCATTGAGCGTCTGCCCCTTGGTGGTCAGTGTGCATCGTAGTGACTGGTTGTTCTGGTCGTTCTGCCATAACGGTCACTTATGCTTTTATTATATAAACTAGAGGCCCGTTGCATGAAATTCGTGCACTTGGGGGCAGTCCCTCAGTCCGGCCTGTGCCCTCTCACCCTTGGGGAGCGGGCCTAAGCCAGCAGTTGGACATCCTTAGCACTGCCGCAGGGGCGGGAGAGGCTCCCCACCACTGCTGCTGTGCTCGCCAGTGAGCCCGGCTTCTGGCTGAGCAGCACTCCCCCTGTGGGAGCGCACTGACCACCATGGGGCAGTCCTGCATTGAGCGCCTGCCTCCTGGTGGTCAGTGCATGTCATAGCGACCGGTCATTCTGCTGTTCAGTCGATTTGCATACTATTCTTTTACTACGCAGGAGGATAATATTTATATAGTATATGTAATACGTATACAATTATGCTGGAGGTCTTCAAGACCACCCCTGGACTTGATGAGTCAATAGGACTCACGGGATTCAGCATATAGTCATACAGCTCTGATTTCTTACAGTGAAAGGATACAAAGCAAAATTGGGAAAAATGGAAGGCGTGGGGTGAAATCTGGGAGAAGCTAGGCTCCCAGGAGTCGTCCCCCAGTGGACTCGCACAAGACATGCTTATTTCTGTCAGCAGTGAGTTGTGACATGCATGAAATGTTATCTGCCAAGGAATCTTGTTAGACACTTAGCATGGTTTTTTGTTTGCTTGTTTTTGTTTGGATGTTTTTTCCATTGATTTTAGAGAGAGTGGAAGAGCGAGAGGGGAGAGAGAGAGAAACAGAAACATTGATGTGAGATGTGACAGACATTGATTGGTTGCCTCCCGCCTGTGCCCCGACCAGGCCAGAGAGCAAACTTTTAACCCAGGAATGTGCCCCTGACTGGAAATCAAACCCTCAACCCTTCAGTGCATGGGCCGACACTCTAACCACTTAGCAACACTGTCCTCGGCATCAGGTATTTTTTGTTGTTTTTTCAGAGAGGAAGGGAGAGGGAGAGAAAAAGAGAAACATCAGTGATGAGAGAGACTCGTTGATTGGCTGCTTTCTGCATGCTCCACACTGAGCATCGGGCATGTGCCCTTGAATTGAGCCCAGAACCCTCAGTCCACAGGCTGACACTCTGTCCACTGAGCCACACCAGCTGGGGCTATTTGGGAGCTGATAGTGTAAGCTGCCTTAGGCTGGCACATACTGAATTTTCAAACTTCCAAAAGGGAAGCAGGTGTTTGGGGTGAACCATATTGTTTGTGCACACAGTTTAGACACAGTGAGCCACTCCTCTCAGTTGTGGGAATGATGGGATCCTTCCCGAAATCCAAGTTAATCAAGGGCCAACCTTCTAAGTAAATCTTTGAAAGGATATCAATTAGGCCTGCTATTTTAAGTCTTTCTGCAAAACAAAATATTATGTATTATTATATAATATTATCTATAATAATAAAAGCGTAATATGCTAATTAGACCAGACAGCCGAACGACCTTCTGGACATCATTCTGGACGTCCTTTTGGATGAAGCCTTGGTGGCGGGGGCGGAGGCAGAGGCAGTTAGGGGCGATGACGTAGGTAGACGAGTGGTTAGGGTGATCAGGCAGGCAGACGAGCGGTTAGGGGCGATCAGGCAGGCAGGCGAGCCGTTAGGGGCGATCAGGCAGGCAGGCGAGCGGTTAGGAGCCAGCGGTCTCGGATTGCAAGAGGGATGTCTGACTGCCAGTTTAGGCCTGATCCCACAGGGCCTAAACCAGCAGTCGGATATCCCTGAGGGATCCTGGATTTCTGGATTGCAAGAGGGTGCAGGCCAGGCTGAGGGACCCCTCCCCCACTGCAGGAATTTCATGCACCAGGCCTCTAGTATATATATAGTAATTATATATGTTAACATTAACATAATTACTGCTGTTATAGTATTTTTTGTTCATATAAATGAATAATGCACTGTTTTTACAATAAAGTTATCAAAAAGAGAATGATAACCCATAGTTTTATCCCTGGAAGGTGGCAAATGTGGAACTTGGATGATATTAGAAATACTTTATTTCTTAATTGGTTTTGCATTCTTATTTGTATGCTTCATAACTTATGTGTCAAATATTGCATAGTGCAAGACTTCATTTTTTAAAGCAAAAAGGGACATTTGGCTACCTAATTTGTTTTTCCAGGATGGTAAGTTCTTACCGCTTGGTCCCGCAGAGTAGCAGTCAGACATTAGTCTTATTTTTCTCTGGAATGACAGCAACACCCCTGTTTTCCCACCCTAGAAAGCAGTTTGATCTAGGACAGTGGTTCTCAACCTTGGCTGCACATTAGAATCAGCTGGGAATCTTTTTAAAATCCTGATTTCTGGGCCGCATCCTCCGGAAATTCTGTTTCTTTGTTATGGGGTGGGGCCACAACATTAGTAACAAAGAAACAGAATTTCCGGAGGATGAGGCCCAGAAATCAGGATTTTAAAAAGATTCCCAGCTGATTCTAATGTGCAGCCAAGGTTGAGAACCACTGATTTGGAGAAAACATGAAAAAGTTGAGAAGTATGAACTTGACTAAATTTTCATTGTGGATTGGATTGACTTTTGGTGGGCGGGTTTGGGGATGGGTGTTAAAGGAGATGTTGCCTGGTACAAGGAAGGCAAGAAGGGAAAGGCAGAAAGGAGAAACAGTCTGCAAGGAAGCCCTGAGTCATGCTGTTCAGGGAAGGCATTTGAGTAGATAAGGAACAGAAGTCAGCAATAAGTTGATAAGTTCTTAAACACAATTGTGTGAAAGGAAGTTTGTAAGTGAGAGCATGATTTGAAGAAGTCCATTCGAGACATTGAGAATTGAGGCCAATCTTCTAGGCATCAGGCAGGTTTAAAACAATCCCTGTGAAGTTGACATTTCTGCTCAAGTAATATGATTTAACAAGCACTATGCATATGTTAGCTTATTTAATTTTCACTACCCTGTTAGATTATATTCTCATTTTACAGAGAGAGAACTAAAGCTGAGAGAGGGAAAAAGAATATTCCCCCCAAAATAGCCAGTTAATATCAGAACTAGGATTCAAGTCAGTAACTTAAAAAGATTCCAGGCTTAGTGTGCAATAATGGATGCCCCAGTGAGTAGCTATTAAGTTGTTAGGAGATGTTATAATATAGGGTGGCTTTGGGGGAAGATTGATGTGTGAGTAAACAAATGACACAGACTACTATGCATTTTAAAGTTCTTTTAGCTGCATTTAACTACCGTTACCAAACATTTTTGTAGTAGTCTTTAGACCTTGTATTTGCTTTCCACTCTTTAATTTTCTAATTTTAGGCTTCTAGAGGCCAAGAAATTCAATTATAAAATTTGTCAAAAAGTGAATTCTAGCCCGGCTGGTGTTGCTCAGTGGTTGAGCATCTACCCATGAATCAAAAGATCACCAGTTTGATTCCCGGTCAGGACACATACCTGTTTTTTGTGCTCTATCCCTAGTAGGGGGCCTGTAGGAGGCAGCTTATTGATGTTCTCTCTCTCTCCCTTCCTCAAAAAAAAAAAAAAGTCAATAAAAAATATTTTTTTAAAAAAAGTGAATCTAAAGTGAGAATAAATGGGTGTCTGGGATCTGGGAGAGACTACCTATGAATAAAGTATGTGGAGTCAGTTTTCATTTTATAAGTAACCACCAATGGTGAAGTTGTTAGTGCTGGTGACATAGGGGGGGAATACATTGAAATTTCCAATTAGATGTTAAAGATTGTTAATTCGAATTAAAACCATTGTTTTATTTTTTTAGCTATGACTTCACACCTATGGATTCTTCTGCAGTCTATGTGCTAAGTAGTATGGCTCGCCAACGTCGTGCGTCTCTGTCATGTGGAGGATCTGGAGGTCAAGACTTTGCAAGATCTGGATTCAGTAAAAACTGTGGCTCACCTGGATCATCACAGCTCTCTTCCAATTCTTTGTATGCTAAAGCTGTCAAAAATCACAGCTCAGGGACTGTGAGTGCCACCTCTCCTAACAAGTGCAAAAGACCAATGAATGCCTTCATGCTTTTTGCCAAAAAATACAGAGTTGAATATACTCAGATGTATCCAGGGAAAGATAACAGGTAAAAATAGTGATGATTCTAATAATTAACACTTAAATGTAGTTCACAAGCACTAGTGCAGTTAAACTTATTCCTAAATAGCTTTTATTACTGGATTCTTTGTTTTCTTAGGTTGACTTCAAAGTAAAAAGTTTTAGTGGAATTTTTAGGGTTATAATCCTACTAGAGTCCCGGTGCACAAAATTTGTGCACTCAGGGGTGGGGGTGGGGAGGGTCCCTCAACCTGGCCTGTGCCTTCTTGCAGTCCAGGAGACCTCAGGGGATGTGCAACTGATGGCTGCAGGCCTAAGCTGTCAGTCGGACATCCTTAGTGCTGCCGTGGAGGTGGGAGAGGCTCCTGCCACCACGAGACAGGCTCCTGCATTGAACATCTGCCTCCTGGTGGTCAGTGCACGTCACAGCGACTGGTCGTTCCACTGTTTGGCCAAATTGCATATTGGCCTTTTATGTAGGATATAATAAAAGGCCAATATGCAAATTGTCCCCTTGACTGGGTGTTTGACAGGGAGTTCGATCAAGAGTTTGATTGGGGGTGGGGCTGGCCTGCCAACTGCCTGCGGCCCTTCCCCCCAATTGGGGCAGGCCGGCTGGACCCCACCCATGCACAAATTCGTGCACCGGGCCTCTAGTTATTTTATAATACCTAGGCATTATAAATTTTATACATAATGCCTAGGTATTAGACACTAAGTGGTGAGGACCTGCCATCTAAAATAGTAGTAAATATAATTCATCTGTTAAAGGACTCAGGTCTAACAACTGACAATTCCGTCTTTATTGAAAAGCAATTGTGTCATAGTATGGAATGTGCAGGAATTGGCAATTTGTAATAACTGCCAGATTTGTCAAAAGTAAACCTTGAAGTGTCCTCAGTAGAGCCCTGGGATAAAAATTAACTTGTCCTTCCTATTCTGTTTGCTGTACACGTACCTCATCTCTTAGAATCCTCTCCAGCTCACTCCCTCTCAAACCAGCCAAGTTCTCCACAGATGAAAATATCTTCTTTCATCTTCCTAGTTTCCTGACAATCAAAACTACCATTTACTTTACCCATGATATCATGAGAAGTCAAATGATTATCCACATCAAATAATCAGGGTTGAATGTTTCATGAGCTTTAATTTTTATATTTATGTATATACTAGAGACCCAGTGCCCAACATTCATGCACTTGGGGAAGGGGGGGGGGGGGTCTCTCAACCGGCCTGCGCCCTCTCGCAGCCCGGGACCCCTCAGTGGACATCCCCCAAGGGGTCCTTAGTGCTGCCGCGGAGGGAGGAGAGGCTCCCGCCACTGCCGCTGTGCTCCCCAGCTGTGAACCCGGCTTCTGGCTGAGCGGTGCTCCCGCTGTGGGAGCACACTGACCACCAGGGGGCAGCTCCTGTGTTGAGCATCTGCCCCCCTGGTGGTCAGTGTGCGTCATAGTGACCAGTCGTTCCGCCGTTCAGTCTATTTGCATATTAGCCTTTTATTATATGGGATTTGAGATGTAATTGATATCTATATATATAAAAGCCCATAGACTGAAACAGCAGAACAATTGGTGGCTATGACGTGCACCGCAGCAGCCAACCAGCCTGGTCGCTCAGATGGGCCCCCAACACCCCGATTGGAGGCAGGGCCTGCCGGCCAACCACTCATGGGTGGCCCCCCCCCCCCCCCTGCCGACCTGGCCCAATGGGTCCCCATCTGGTGGGCCAGCCAGACCCCACCCCTGCGCGGATTTGTGCACTGGGCCTTTAGTACCATTATATTAGTTTGAGGTGTATAAATGATTCAATCTCTCTCTCTCTCTCTCTCTCTCTATATATATATATATATATATACACAGAGTGTGTATATACGTGTGTGTGTGTGTGTGTGTGTGTGTGTGTATCCTAAGCGACCATTACAATGGTTGACCGGTCACTATGATGCACACTGACCACCAGGGGGCAGACGGTCAGTGCGCTCCCACAGCCAACCACCTGTGGCCAGCCAACCTCCCACAGTCCCTCCCCTTGGCCTGCCAGCTCCAATGGGACCCAATGGCTGGCCAGGCCGAGGGACCCAACCCATGCATGAATTCATGCACCAGGCCTCTAATAATTGTATATATTGCAAAATGATCACCACAATAAGCCTAGTTAACTAACATCCATCACCACACTAATTTTTTTTTTCTTGTAATGAAAATTTTTAAGAACCACTCTCTTTTTTTTTTTTTTTTAAATATATTTTATTGATTTTTTACAGAGAGGAAGGGAGAGAGATAGAGAGCTAGAAACATCAATGAGAGAGAAACATCGATCAGCTGCCTCCTGCACACCCTCTACTGGGGATGTGCCCGCAACCCAGGTACATGCCCTTGACCGGAATCGAACCTGGGACCTTTCAGTCCACAGGCCGACGCTCTATCCACTGAGCCAAACCGGTTTCGGCAAGAACCACTCTCTTAGCAACTTTCAAATAAGCAATACAGTACTGTAAGTCACTCTGTTGTACATTGCATCCCCAGGACTTATAACTGTGGAAGTTTGTACCCTTGGACCATCTTTACCTGTTTTGTCCCCCAAATCTAGTAACCACCAGTCTGTTTTCATGAACTTAATTTTAAAAGAGAAGTTTCCTGTATCAGATGCATCTCTGATTTAAGAATTGATACATATTTGAATATTTCTTATTGGTTTAACTGTTAAATGTATCAACCATTATGTGGTAGCTTTAACCTACAGACTACAAAAACTGGCTTTTATTTTAATAAAGGAGGATGTAGCATAGTGTTTGATTGGATTAAAATTTTTGCTGCACATTTACTTTTTTTAGTAGCATTTCTGTGGTTGCTGTTTCTCTAAAGCTCACATGTGGATCTCTAGCTTCCCTGTCAATTAATGTAAATCATTTGTATATACTTCATGCAGTCATTCCAGGACCTTTTGTTTTCTATGAGTGTCATGAAATTAATAGTTTAAAGCTCTTCATAGAAGGAAAATGGTTTATGTCTACTCCAGAATGAGACTATTTTAGTAGGTTTGAGAGCAGATTAACAAATACAGATTTTAGCTTTAAATTTCTATCATAATGTCTTATCAGTTTGACTTCTTTCCCCTTTGAATTTATCCAGCTTTCTCAAGTGAATAAATACAAATATTGCCTAAGGCTTATTTGGTCTTGTCTAAGAAGGTAAACAGTAATGTGTACAGTCAGTGCCACATTTTCACTGTGGTTGCATGAATGAAAAAGACTTTGTTTTAATCATCATCATTTGACAGGTTATGGGCACAAAGTAAGAATAGCTTTTAATACAAGATGAATAATTTATGCTGCTGATACTGAATACTGTCTGCCTTAATATCTTAAACATCTTTTAAAAACCAGTGAACCAGGATAGATCCAATAGTAACTTAAACCATTTCTTTGAAATACTTTAACTTTTTTCTTTAAATCTGAGCTTGGTAGAACATCCATTTTTTTAAACCATTTTATATGTCCTTTGACAATTGGAAATGTTGGCACTATTACAGGAGGCTTTAACTGCCAAGATTATGATAAACAGACCATGACTTGAGATTTTACTGGAAATGACTACTATAGTTTTGACCTTTTCCCTCCTCTATGTTGGACAATTTTTGTCTTTTTTTTTTTTTCTTTATATTTCTTCCTGAAGTAGCAGCACTTTTGTGAAATATTCTTGCCTTGAGCATGGTGTAAATATTTATTTTTACAGAGCCATAAGTGTGATCCTTGGTGACAGGTGGAAGAAAATGAAGAATGAAGAGAGAAGGATGTATACATTAGAAGCAAAGGCTTTGGCTGAAGAACAAAAACGTTTAAATCCTGACTGTTGGAAAAGGAAAAGAACCAATTCAGTATGTTTCAACAAGTAGTTGCTTAACATTATCTTCACTCTTCCCCCAGAATTGTTCTGGCATGTTGGAGCGGTTGTTATAACCTTTAAAAGGTGTTGATCGGCCTTTTTGTACTGCAAAACCTAGTAATATTTTTATACCATCACATAAGGCAGGCGGCCTTTTCTTCATTCAGTGCCATTTACTCTTTGAGCATGTAAGGTAGAAATGTAAGACATGCTTAAGAAGAATGCTTGTCTGGAAATGTTGAGGTATAAAAATAATTTTGGAATGTATTTACTTCCAGTTGGGTTGAAAAATGGGTGTTAATTAACTCAATGTCATAGTAGGATTTTTTTCTAAGTTGGAGATGGTATGTCTCAGCAGCCTTTTGTTTTTAACGTTCTTGGGGACTTCTGACATTTGTATATAATTTCTAGATTAAAAACCCCAGGAAAGAAGAAATAGAAAAGCCTGGAAAGAGTGGTAAAAAGTTTGCACTATAATAATGCTACCTTGATAGACCTGATTCTTAAAACTTTTCCATTACTAGACTAGCATCTTTTAAGTGTTTTTAGATTAATTACAAGAAAACGTAACATGATAGAACAGAACAAGTTCAGTTTGAAATACCTAAAAACGAAGGGAAGACATCAGTTTGCAACAGGAGGGCTATGTTTATGTCTGTTTCTTTACAGTAGCTTGCAGTTCACATCTGTTTAAAATTTTCATGAATTTATCTTAAGGAAGTAGTGGTCAGATTCCAATATTAAAAGGTAGCTGAACTGGATTTTTGAAGTTCTTGATTTCCTTAGAACTCCATGTAGGGTAGGGCTCTACCTACATCCCTTTTTCTGCACCTCCTAGTTCATTTCTCCATTTTCATAGATTTTCCAATGCTTGAGCAATCAGATATTAGTGAACTTACTTACAATGCCCACTTCTGAGAAAGTGATTTTTTAAAAAATAATAAGCTTATAAACATTATCCACCTTAGCTTCATTTGTAGAATTACTGTCTATTGATTTGTAAACATTCACTGAGTTTTCATTTTATCTCCACAGGGCTCACAACAACATTAAACCAGGATGCTTATATTAAGTCTGCATTTGCATAAGCATAGACTGTTGATGGGAAGACTTAAGAGGATGTGTTTTCACCATTTGTCCGGAATTCGTGTGACCATAAGATACTGATAGCATTGAGTCTTCAAATGATTTAATAATAAGCGTGAGGATTTGCTTTCTCCATTAGAGCATTAAGCTAAAACTATCAACATTGTAAACCAAATTGCCTTATTTTTCTTCCAAATTTCACATGTCTATCAGGTAACATAGGCTTGAAAATTTAAATCCTGTGGTGCTAAAGTACAGTAGAGAGAGGAGAAGTGTGTACATGTTTTATTTTAAATTGTACAAAAGGGGAACTTAAAAATATATAACTGCTGTTTATACATTGGCTCCTTCCTGCTTATTAATCTGTATTGTACACATAATGGAATGAAACAGAAGCTGGGAGTTGGCCTTTCTGAGCAACCACCACATGGCTCAGCATCTGTGCCAAACACAGGAGCTCCTAGTCTGGCCAGTGCCAAGAGGCTAGCAGAACATGTGGCAGGCGGCTGGTGTCAGCCTCCCAGCTAAGGGGCCACCTGCTGCAGTTACCCGCGCATGCTGAGTGTGGGCACCAGGTGGCAGCACCCATCCATTATTTCCAGTGGAGACGTAGCCCAGGCCAAGGTGAAGTTAATAGCATTGAGATATAGTCACTGTAATGGTGCTATTAACAGTTGATACCATTGTATTTTTAAACTTTGTGTTCTGTATCTCCTCAGCTACATATCTTCAATATGTTATTTTGTCATCATATCTTTATGGTGGGGGCAGACTTTGCACTTACTGCAGTGCAACACTTGCACTTTACTTTCCTCCAACTGTCTGAAATTAGAGCAAATACACTGGCAATACAGCTGCTTTTGCTCTGAGCTACAATCATGGCTTTTCATGTTACTTACCAAGTGGTATTTCTGGTTAGGAATCACAGCTGTAAAATTGATTTCAGTTCATTACACTTCATGATGTTGCCCCTAAATTTTGCACACTATATTCTTGTATATTATTTCAAATAAAATGAAAAAAAAAAAAAGGTTTATCTCTGACTTCTGCTGATTGATTTTGACTGAACATTATATATGAGATGCCAGAGTATCAGGCTCTGGGGATGGAAAATAAGTTGCTGATGGGGTTTTAAGCATTAAGTTAAAAGTAACATGTTAACAGGATGAGGGCAATAGGAAAATAAAGACCTAGATTATCTATCAGAACCTCTGTAAAATAAAAATTGTTTTTATTTATAATTTGGCATCTCTGTTACAAAGTTTAACAGCCACAAAAGTCTGCTTTTAATAAAATGACACAAAGTGTTAAGATAGCTTGCTCTAGCTTTATTACAGATACATTATGACATATTTAAACATTTAGCTCTACATCTTTGCTTTTAGGATATGCCATTGGTTCCCAAACTTTATTGCATATTGGAAACACTTGGAAATGTTTTTTAAAAATACTAATGCGTGGCTCCTACCCCAAATGTGTTAATATGGAGTACAAATCAATTAATATTCGGCTTTTTAAAAGCTTCCCTCACTGGTTCTAATATGCAGATGTGGAAACCACTGGCTACATATCTAGTGAGGAAGAAAGATTGGGGGAAGCAGGGTACTTACTGTATGTTACCTGGCCATATACCTTAAAAAGCAGTGGGTGCTCAGTTATGTGATGGGAAAGGAATTTTAGCTAGCCTTGTAGAAAAGTCTGAAAGGAGAGAAGAGTTGGATGTCTTTCTGGAAAATCAGGCCTCTAGCGTTTGAAGGTGATGGTGATTTTTGACATTTTATGCTACATAATTAGAAGGGCTGAAGAGATCAACAGAAAAAGATCAATAGAAAATACAGAAAAGTTGGTTACATTCTTAAAACAGTAAATACTAACTGTCTTTGGGTTAGCAAAGAATGGAGATTAAGAAATACTTCACATTATTACTGAAGAGCAGACATAGCTTTCTGAAGCAGTTGAACCATTATGGGATACACTGGTGCAAATTCTTTGCCTTCTCTACTTCTTACAGACTGAACATAAGCCTCCAGGGCTCCCCTGAAAACCAAAATGAAAACAATGTCAAAAATTATATAAATAATAAAACAGGTTAGAGGGTGTCAATATATAAAAGAAAGAAGCCCATTTCTGGAATCTCTGCCCAGTTCCATAAGCTGAGTGACGAACAGCCTTCAAACATTCATTGGTAGTGTTACTATGGTTAAGGGGCAGAACTAAACCTTTCTCAGTCTGCATTGTACATAGTGGTCTTACACAATCCGGCTCTGACCTCTGAGGTGGTTTTCAGTTTCCCTGTGCTCTCTTTCTCTATTAGACTTCTGAGAAGCCATATGCAGCTGGTGCCTGTTCGGAGCTCACACCGCAGGGAGGCATGTTCAGTTGCGGGGCCCTGTATTATTTGATGAAGCTGAAAGGAAAATTGCTCTTGGGCTCAAACTTTTGAATTCAGTCAAGGGTATGTGTACCAGCCAGTTGTTGATGATTATAATGTTCTCATGAATTAGATCAGGGGGTTAGCCAACCACCCACAGGCCAAATCCTGCTCTATGCCTGTTCGCTTACGTATTGTCTGTGGTGGCTTTGACACTACACTCATTAGTCAGACAGAGGCCATATGGCCTGCAAAGCCTAAAATATTTAGTATGTGGCCTTATGGAAAAAGTTTTCAACTACTGAACCAGATGATCTAAGTGTTAGATCATGTTTAAGTGGAGCTAAAACAATGGTTAATGGATTTTATTATTGGTCTACTTAAGTCCCAAGTAAAACAAATTTTTATCATTGTTAAAAAGTTTCACAGCTCTTGAGTTTACAAAATTTCTACAAAGATACCATTAGCTCACATACTCAGTCTCAACTCCCATCTAATATTTCTCAACTGGTTGTTTTGCTCCCAAACACTGAAAATATTAATCCCTGGTCAGGTTTGTTCATTATTTTCATTTAACTGTGGGGAATGTACTTGCCCGGAGTCTGCCAGCTCCCCACTTGCTCTGCAGTGCCCCTCCCACTCTATCCACTTTCACAGTCTCAGCCACTACATAATTGAATCTCCAATCTCACTTCTGGCCCTGACCGCCTTCCTGATTTCTACCTGCATTCTGGATATTTTGGCCTTTTCCCCCTAAGTATCCCTCAAACTCACCTGTCAGAAGCCTAGGGCAGTCCAAACCTACAGAACGAATGTCAGCACCATGGTAAACCCTAATGTAAACTGGGGGCTCTGTTTGGGTGATGTGTCAGTGTGGGGTCACTGTTATGAACGGACCACTCTGATGGGGCATGTTGGTAATGGGGGAGGCTATGTATATATGGGAGCAGAGGAGGTATAGGAAATCTCTGTACCTTCTCTAATCTGCTGTGACCTAAATTTGCTCTAAAAAATGAAGTCATCAAAAAAACAGAAAAGAAACCTGGGGAGGGGGACGACACCCTTAAGGGAAGTATTCTGCCCACCTTTCCCTATTTCAACAAAAGGCACCATCACCTCCCAAGGGCCTCTATTTAAAGTTCTCCTTCAATGCTGCAAAGAATCAGTTACCAAGTGCGATTAATCTGTCAGGTATTTCTGCATCTAGTCCCTCCTCTTCCCTTTGCTGCAGTTTGAGTCCCGCCATTTTGTGCCCTAATCCAACTGCTGTAGCATTGTAGATGGTGGTCAACCCAGTGCTGTCTCAGCCCTGGGCTAGACTCCCACACTACAGTAAGCCTCTGCCTGCAGTCCATCACTGGCCATGCCCTCTACCCATTAGGAGGCTGTAAACTCACCTCCCAAACCCTGTCAGTGCTACGACTGGGTTCTAGACAGTTTGCTGTGGCCTAAAAGGACCCTCAAATCATTAGTTTCCATTGTTTGTTACCAGCACACATTGCAGAGCAGCTTCACCCACCTTGTGACTCCAAGTCCTCCCCCAATGCCAACCCGGGAGAGATAGGGGCTGTGTGCAAATAGGACTTCACAGAGATGTCTGTGCCTACCAAAAGGGCTACAAAAGAGCCTGTTCCTCTTCGACCTATTCCCGTAGGCCTTTCTCATGATCTTCCTTTTCCTTAGAATGCTCTTCCCCTTCCTTGCCTTCTTCCTGATAGAGCTCTTTACTTAGCACCCAGCTCAAATGCCCTCTTTTTGAGGAAGCCTTTCCTAACGCCATCCAGGCAGCACAAAAGAACTGCAGCCACCCTGTCGATGCACCTTCTGCACCAACAGCCCTGGCTTAGCAGGGACCCAGCATTTGGGATCCTTCACAGCTGGCTCCGTGCTCTTCTCAGGGTATGATCACATGACGTGGAGGGCAGCCCCCTTATTTAAGCAGCCTGGGTGCTGTACCAGGCTCTGGCCCACTACCCAGCTGTATGATCTGGGCTGCATTTGAGCTGATTTGCTCATCTACATTATACAGTTATGAAAAATGAAGATTTTACTCTGAAGCACTTAGCTCTCTTCCAGGTCTTATATGTATCTATAAAGCACTTAAATACTGTTTTCCCCATCACACTTCTAGAAGACCTCAGATTCTCCATGTAATTGAGCAAGACGTCTACATTTGTACCACATTAGAGTGTACCTGTCCATTGGTCAGTTTCCATCTTACGATATAACTTAACTTTGAGGGTTGGGGCTGTATTATTCATTTATGTAACCCAGGACCCAGTGCTTAACAAATGCATAATGAATAAATAAAAAACAAATTAGAAACAGGCAGATAGATCAATGGAACAGAACAGAGACCCCAGAAATCAACTCAAGCCATTATGATCAATTAATATTTGACAAAGGAGGCAAGAGCATACAATGGAGTAAGGATGGTCTCAATAAATGGTGCTGGGGAAACTGGACAGAAACATGCAAAACAATGAAACTAGACGACCAACTTACACCATATAGAAGAATAAACTGAAAATGGATAAAAGACTTAAATGTAAGTCATGAAACCATAAAAATTGTAGAAGAAATCATAGGCAGCAAAATTGTAGACATCTCTCATGGTAATATGTTTACTGATACATCCTGAGGGCAAAGGAAACTAAGGAGAAAATAAACAAATGGGGCTACATCAAAATAAAAAGCTTCTGCATAGCAAAAGAAACCATAAAAAAAAAAATGACAAGAAATCCCACTGCATGGGAGGACATATTTGCTAATGATATATCCGATAAGGGGTTAATTTCCAAAATATACAGGGAATTCATACAACTTCACCAAAAAAGAAGACAGACAATCCAATTAAAAAATGGGCAAAGGACCCATACAGAAACTTCTCCGAAGGGAACATACAGAATGCCAAAAGACGTATGAAAAAATGATTAAGTCACTAATTATCTGAGAGATGCAAACCAGAATAACATTGAGGTATCATCTCACACCTGTCAGAAATGGCTACCATCAACACATCAACAAATGACAAGTATTGGCTAGGAGGTGGAGAAAAAAGGACCCTAGTAACTGCTGGTGGGAATGCAGACTGGTGCAGCCATTATGGAAAACAGTATGGAGTTTTCTCAAAAAATTAAATATGGAACTGCCATTTGACCCAGTGATTTCACATATAGAAATATATCCTAAGAAAACAGAAACACCAATCAGAAAGGATATATGCACCCCTACGTTCATAGTAGCACAACTTACCATAGCTAAGATTTGGAAACAGCCCTAGTGCCCATCAGCAGATGAGTGGATAAAAAAGCTGTGGTACATTTATGCAATGGAATACTATGCTGCAGTAAAAAAGGAGGAACTCTTACCATTTGCAATAGCATGGACGGACCTGGAGAGCATTATGCTAAGTGAAATAAGCCAGTCAGAGAAAGATAAGCATCACATGATATCACTCATATGTGGATTATAATGAACAACATAAATTGATGAACAAAATAGATCCAGAGACATAGAAGCAAGGAACAGGCTGTGGAATCTCAGAGGGAAGACAGGGGAGGGTGCGTGGGAAGAGATCAACCAAAGAACTTGTATGCATATACAGTATGCACACTGACAATAGTGTGGTGAAGGCTTGGGGCAGGGAGCAGGCTAGAAGGGGTCAATGGGGGAGAGGGAGGGATATATGTAAAACTTTCAACAATAAAGATTTAAAAAAAAGAAATACAGGCAGATAGAACTTTAATGAAAAGAAAAGCAAAAGTGCAGAAGAAGGTAAAGGAGAAACATGACTGCTGGAGAGTCCCCAAAAGAAGCAAAGGTATGCAAAATGGAATGAAATGCTCCAAGAGAATAATCTTTTGTGCGATGCCTAGCTCACGTCATAGAAGCTATTTCTTTATGGGGGGGGGGGGGGGGGGAAAGTTGCTTCTTCTAGTAACTCTTCAGGTTGCTATGGCACTCCCGAAATGTAGTCCCTGAAGATTTATGCAGTGGAAAAATCCCCAAGGGCCCCAACTGTCTGAGACAATAATGTGGGTGTGGGTGTGTTTGTATACAGGGTCCAAAAAAGTGTATACACACGTTGATAGCTGTAGATTCTATTACATTTTGAAAATGAAATGTATTCTGCCTTTACAATTATTCAAAGTGTGTACACATTTTGGGGGACACCCTGTATACATCAATCTAAGAAATTAGTGCACTGAAATTCTCAGAAATATAGATGTTCTGAAGTGAATGGATTATATCTGTTTTAATACAATACAAAATCAATTTAGCAGTTTCATTTGCATTCAAAAAGATAAGGCATATGAACACAATATGTAGAAGAAAGTTCAGAAATGAGCTTGGTTAGTTTTTTTTGGTATTCATCAAAAACCATCAGAACTACAAAAAGAAAAACAGATTAAAGCCGCCCTCCCATATAAAATCAGAGTGAGATTTTCAAGCAATTTTTAAATTACTTCATTTGCTTGAGTAAAACATCAGCTTTCTTGAAAGTAAGAATTAGTCCTAACTCTGGTTTGTAACCAAAAAGGACGATTAGCACCCTTACTGAAAAAAGTTAGTACTGGAGCTGTACAAACAATTAGAAGAACTGTCTGTCACATGGTAACACTGCTCTGTGAAGCCTTTTATGGGACACAAGATTGAGTTGGTC